GGGGCCCGCGCCCTACTAAAGGGGAATGCTGCGGCAAGAGTTAAGGAGTGGTGGACAAGGGTGCTGCCGCTGCTCAGTGTACAACCCCCTCTAAGCTCCCAGCAATGTGATATGGGCTGGCCAAGCAGGAACATCCGGCCATCACCGTTGCTCGCAGGGGAGGGCGCCCATCGAGGCAGGGTAGCGACATATACCTGCTCTTGCGCTGGGAATAGAAAACGCAAGAACTCCATCTCGAACCATCAAGAGCCATCCTCAAGCTCCTAGGCAGGAGTTGCAGCATCTAGTTTTGAAAGGACAGCGGGGGGAGCCGAATCAGGCAACGGGCAGGCCTGAGAGGGGTACAACATCACCACCCCAAACCTAACGCGAATGCCTAACAGGTAGCTGAGCTTGCACGCAGCGCCGCTCCCAGACGGTCAAGCATTTCAAGCTAAACAGCGCCGCGCTTGGACTGCATTGAGGCAGCATGCACTTACCCTGCCCGCTGGCCCCTGTGAAAGTACAAGGGGTGTCACCCATCTCCCTTGTAAACCCAGGGCTTGCGTAGCGTGCTATGTGCTGCCTCGGATTGCCACTTCGGATTGCAAAACAGCTTGGCTGCACAGGGCTTCACCCTGGCTAATGCGCGTGAATACTAGCACCGCAACTCACACGAAAACACCTGCAAAATTCCATGGCTCTACCCCCCTCTGCAGCGGAGACCACTACAGGAACTGCACGCTACGCATCAAGGGGCATCCCCAGCGTCCGCCTACAATCCTGCACCCTTCAGGCCCCAAAAAGCAGGACACGGTCCTGGAGCCCTCGTGGCTTGAGCCATTGCTCTTACTCTTACTCTCACTCTCACTCCTACTCCTACTCCTACTACTACTCCTACTCCTCTACTGCTACTCCTCTTACGATGACTACTACTACTACTACTACTCCTCCTCCTCTACTCCTACTCCTCTTACGACTACTACTACTACTACTCCTACTCCTCTACTCCTACTCCTCTTACGACTACTACTACTACTACTACTACTACGACGACTAGCCGCCCATGCCCCCTGCCAACTATGTTTGCTTTTTCTTGCCAATATACATGTGGGGAGGCGGCATTAGAAAACAGTAAGCAACATGACAAAGAACTGTTTTCTACGCAGGGTGCTGGTTAGTTCTCGAAGGCCTGCTTTGTGAGCGTTACCTGGACCATGGCTCCAAGAGATGCCAACGTGGACACGTTGAGGTCGGTTTATACTCAATTTCCCCCCCTCCCCCCCTCCAAAGCTCTGGCAGTGAAAATATCAACCAACATAGTTAGTAGGGGGGGGTGCCTACTACTACTACTACTACTACTACTACTGGCAGCCGCTCCTTCCCTTCCAACTACGTTCCCTTGAATGTCAGGGGTGGGGGTGTTGAACTTTGCGCAAAGCCGACGGCGTCATCAAGGCATTGCGCAAGGCCTGTACGGCGCGAAAGCCCGTAGCGTTTCTTCATTTTACCTGCACCCAAAGTGGTGGGCGAGCATCCTTTGATCTGGTAGACGGAAGACTGCATGGTCTCTGAAGTTGATGATCATCTCCTGTATCTGTGTTTATCCGGCACAGGTTTTTTCAGGCTTATGATCCTGGATGAAGGCCTCTGGTATAGCACCCTTATCAACTACCTGATCCTGAATTGCTGTGGGCTGGCTATGCGCAGAGGGCTCAGGGCTGCGCTGCGGAATTGAATCCATTCTCTAGTGTGTTGTTTTCTCAGCCTGGACCAGTGACATAGTTCCTCGTTGCAGCACTTGCAGGTTTCGAAGCCATTTTTGGCGCCTCACTTTTTCAAGGCATAGGTTAATTAGATGGTCCGTTGAGGTCTGCCTTCTGGCGCTTGACCAGCCTCACAGTCAAAAACGTAAGGCCCTAGCTACAATATCTTGCTAAAACCCGTACCATATGGAAGAGGTTCCAAAAGAGCCAAGGTCTCCCACAAGGTTGTGAGCCTAGGGCCTCGGGGAGATGAAAATCACGCGCAACGGGGCTCTAACTTGCGTTGTCATTGTGGACTGCACGGAGCCACCTGTACATGATGTCCTTTCACCTAAGTCGTCTGGGCAGCTTGCGCCACCGCGCCACCTCCAAACGTTTCAAGGACTGCAGCGCGGAGGTCAGAGGTCAGAGGACCTGAAAGTCAGCAGCGTCATTGTGGAGTGAAAGTCACCTGCAGCAGGAACAGTAACAAGACAAGACCTTTCGAAAGTGCGTTGATATAATATTATATCTGTGGACCTCGTGGGCGTTGTGGTTGATGATGAACCCCCTGTCCTGTAGAAATCTCTCGCTGCACCGGGGCGGCCCACCATAGAACTCCGGATCACTTGCTCGCGGTAGGCTCGCACGCTGTCAATCATCTGGCACTTTGTCTGCACTGGCTTGTCAAGCCACTCATGTGTAGCGTTGTGATGCCGGTGATCCATGCCCATCGCCGCCAAGGCTGCCCCTAGTGCAACGTCAAATTTAATAGCGAATGACTGCAAAAGCGCCCTGTCCGGTTGCATCGTGGTAGTCGTCCATTGCAGGAGTGGCAAGGTCCAGCTGGCGTTGAGGCTCGGCGCTTGTTCTATTGTTGCGGCTGCTGCTGTCGCCAACGCAGCTCCTGGGGGGCTGGTATGGCGTGGCACGTGCAGCTTTCCCATCTTAATGTTTGCCAAAGGCTGGTAGTTCGACATGGCTCTGACGCAACCAGTCACAACTATGACGACGCATTGTGGCCGACAAGGGGGTGAAAGCACTTGCAAAAAATGCCCAGCTGGCGCGCTCATCTTGAAGCCAACGCATGTTTCTTTAAGATTCAGGGCTCGGGGTTCAGGATGGTCACAGGCTTGCAAGTGTTTAGGGTGTGGGAACAGTGTTTCACTTTTTTTTCCCCAAAGCAGGAAACGTCTGGGGTCCTCTCATTCAAAGAAAAAAGAACGCAGCGGCTGGATGGGCTGCACGCGGCGCAGACCTGTGGGCCCGCACAGCGGCAACTGGATGGGCAGCACGCGGCGTGGCCTGTGGGCTCGAGGTAGGCCCGCGATGGGCCGCTGCAGAGGCAGCTGGATGGGCGGCACGCGGCAATGACCCGCGGTTATGAGTTCTGTTTCAAATCGCAATTGGACAGGTGGCACGCGTGGGCCCGCGGTGGGCCGCTGCAGTTGGGGGACCAATTCTTGCAAAGATTCTGGTCCGAAAACTGCTCGTGACCGAAAGCCGCGTACGCTGGGTCCAAACAGGAAATGTTTGGAGTCGTCTCCTTAGAAGAAATGAAGAACGCGGCGGCTGGATGGCCGGTGTTCGGCTTGGACCTGTGGGCTGGCTGGGGGTCCGCGGCGGCTGGATCGGCAGCGGCGCCTGGATGGGCGGCGCGGCTTGGAGCTGTGCGCTGACGGTGGAATGGGCCGACGTAAACTTGCCAGCTCAAGGCCGGACTCAAAATTAAAGTACGGGATCAAAAATCTTTCCAATCTAACCCCGGAACCCTCAACCTTGATCTTTAAGCACTAAACCTACGGGACCCAAGAAACCGTGAGCTGCAGTAGTGTCTTGCAATGCTGGTTTTCTTTGCCCGAGGCCCGAGGCCTCAAACTAAAATCCAGGGATGCAAGAATCAGACCGTCGTTCCATGATATTCAAGCTTGCAGAATCAAACCCAGAAAGGAAAAATCCAGCCGCCAACGCATTAATATAAATGGGTATGTAGATGTTTTCTGTATTTCTGGATTATTGCTACTTTGCTTTCTGCGCATTCTAATCAGATAAGCGCTGAATGCCAACTATAACTTTCATTTGCATGTTTTCCATCCATGCTGTGTGGGGTCTTCGCCGCCAATAATTTGAAAAACAGGGGGGGAAGCACTTGCAAAAAAATGCCCAGCTGGCGCGCTCATCTTGGAGCCAACGCATGTTTCTTGGAGATTCAGGGCTCGGGATTCAAGATGGTCACAGGCTTGCGATTGCTTATTTTGAAAAGAGGTGGCGAAAGCACCTGCAAAAGAATACCCAGCTGGCACGCGTTTCTTTTAGATTCAGGGCTCTAAATTCAAGATGGTCACATGCTTGCGATTGTTTAGGGTGTAGGAACCATGTTTCATATGTTTTGTTTAAGGCTGAAGGTTCTTCAAGGGCTTGTAAGGGCTGTCAATGGTGTTAACGCGTCAGATGTTGAGGGTTGGACGCTTAGTTGAGGGTTTGGGGTTAGGGTTTGGGTTGGTTTAGGGCAGGGTGCCTGTTATTAACCAATAAAAAGCATGAGATCAACATACGCGTTGATAAGAGTAGTAGGACTAGTACAGTTAAAAATAGCAATATTTACAACAGTGGTGGCCTCGGCTTCAATAGTCATATAACATATGAATCATTGGAAGAATACACACTGGCGGGGCATTTACACACACCAGAAGACGCTGCTTCCGGCTTGAACCCAGCACAGCATGAAATGTTGCCCATTCAGCTGCAGAAGCTGAGATTTGGTTGTTTTGCCATCTGGACGGTGTTTTCGAATAGGTGGAGACAGGGCGTGGGTACATGGGGTACATGGGTATGATCCTGACCCAACAGGCTGATGTCCAGCCCAAAGCTCACACCTCTACAACCCGTGAATGACAACGGAGCCCCGCATGATCATTGTCGACTACTAGAAGGAAAGTGATTAATACTTGTGCATGGGCTGAAGCCTTGCGGACGCTGTGGATAACAAAGAGTTGAGCTGTCCAACAACGCGATGTACCGCAATATGTGAACCTGTACAGTACCAGTTCCCCTGTTCCCCTTGGCGGGAGCTGGTCCGCGGGTAAAATCACAGCGTGAGCTAGCCTGACCCCCAACTGGCGACTGACTGCACTTCAGATGAGAAATGCAGCGAATGCTGCAGCTTGATCGATGCAACGACGAAAGAGAAAAGCACCATGAACCCTGCTTCCTTTGTTCAGCAAGATGTCTGGCTCTACACAGGGCATGCATGAAACGACTGGTCTGCACCACAGCCTGAACGGCCTGATTGCCCTCCTTGCCACGAATGCCTGCACGCGAGATTTTGGGGACGGCCTTCATCCAGCCCGGCTGTGTAAGAATAACAAGTCTGCCTATGCCAACATGAGCACCCTGAATCATGGGCACATCGTTTGCACCGTCGCCGACTGCCAGAGTGATCCCCGTCCTGTAAGGACTGAGAAGTAGGATCTGACGAAGATAGCAAAGTAAATGCACGGCTTGGATCGGCTTGATGCAGCTTCTTCCCCAGTTCACCCACTCTGCCGAAGGTGCATGCGAATGGCATGACAAACACAGCATGTTGCGAAGGCTCCTGTTCATGTCCTTCACTAACTCCACCTGGAAGAAAAGAGCGTTCACTGCAAAGCAGTCCAATGCATTGTGTACGAGGAGCACGCCAATCTTCGCTTTTGCTGCGGAGACAGGCGGCAGCAGACCTGCAACAAAGATTGGAAGTTTGCCAAGAAACCTGGAGTTCGAGTTGGGCTTCCGCAGAGGGAACTGGGGCTGTGGCACAGCAAGTGCTGGCCATCGCAAGCTCGTACCTGACCAGCCCAGGCTGGCTTTTTGCTGTTGGCTGTGGTTCTGGACAGAAAACAGGGAAGGTTCACAGGACCGGCCGCCCGCCGGTGGAACTTAGAACCTGCTGAACAAATGTACCTGCATGCTGGCAGAGCAGCTCAGCCAAGACAGCTTACTGGCTTGTGGCATGAAATATCTTGGGTGAGCGACCATCAATAACAAGTCCTCCGTCCGGAATGTCTTGTAACTTCGTCTTGGCTTCCTGAAGACTCTACAAACATGCAGAAGACCTGGAGCAACTGTTCAGCTGGAGCCTCCAGCAAGCTCAAGGCCTGTTGCTCGCTGCTGCAGTTTACCTGAAGTTGGTTCATCTTCACGAGTGCAGCGCTCGGCTGCCAAATGCTTTCGTTTAACGCGCATTCTTTTTTGAGGGCCCTGCCAGATAGGCTAGAGTCATGTTTGATGTGAATAACCGGCAGGACTTCGCTATCTCCACCTCAAAATCAAGTGCGAGCACCAGTACCAGTGGCCTGCAAGCAGCCAAAGCTCAGTTGGAAACAGCTGTTTCTGTCTTGTCGCCAGTGAGAACCCAGAAGCGGATTGATGCTGCCTGGCAAAAAAGATGTTTCCTCAGCAGCACATCATACATTCTGATACAGCATGCCGCAAAACCTCCAGCGAAGTGTCTTAGTCTCGATGCGAAAAAATGCGCCGTATCATGACAGACCCTTGTTCTGGAAACACCCTTTGCCTTGATGGAGACAATGGCCTCGGGCACCCCATCTTGCAGCTTGTCCTTGCAAAAGTGCTTGGCCAACGGACTTGTTGAACTGTTGCCAGCTAAATGTACATGCTTTCTGAAGTCCATTGTCATGTGTCAATAGGGCTACGTTGACAGGTGGAGCCTCCTCTGAAGTGAAGCCTCTGTGCCCTGGGAGATCTGCTACCAATTCGGCAAAACAAAAAATCCCGCTGCTGGTGTGTCAGCGGTCTCTCCTGTCAAGTAATATTGAAGACCAAACTGCAACTCACAAAAATCATGAGAGGCTTGCTGTGTGTTTGTGAGGTGGAAGGGTCATGTGCTCACAACATGCTTCTCAGACCCCTCTTCAAGATGTATCAACTAAAAGCCACCAAAAATGAGCTCGTTACTCTTATCACCATGAATGTCGCCAGTGATAATTAAGCCCAAGCACCTCAATCGCTGTAATTCCAGCCGGCTCGAGAGAATGCTCCACCTCTGCTGCGAGCTCACTCAGCTTCTTCTCCCGGTCCTGTGACGAGATTTTTCTTGCGAGATTTGAAACCCACACCCCGACACGAACACAAAGAGTACTTCGAGCCTCCGAGTCCAGGCTGGCGTCTTTCCAACGGCTGAGCCAGTCTTCAGTGAAACTAAGGTCCATCTTCTTCGCAGCAATCTTAGAAGCCGTGTCAGAAAGAGTCTCTGCCGCAAGACTTTGTGAGTAAGCAAGAAATGAGAAGCAGAGAGTACCAATGAGCATGCAAGCACTTCAGCACTTGCAACCAGCAAATCTGCCAGGGAACCACAAGAGTTCGGAGGCCCAGCTTGGAGTACTCCGTCAGGCTCTCACCAAGTGAGCCTCGATTCGGTGAACCCTGGCTCTAGCCTGTTTCCATCCTTTTTGATTTTTGCACGTCATACTTCAAATAAGCAGGGAACCGTCCAGCGGACGGGAACATAGCGGCCTGGTGCACAGGTAGCCAAATTACACGCAGCAACGGCCGAGTAGGGCTGCGGAAGATGTGGAAAATTGTCAGCGTTAAGGCTTGCACCCCATGATGTTGTCGGCCCCTTTACACATGCACCAGTATTCACCTCGGCAGCAGCAATCATCTTCAAATGGCCTCTCGAGTCTGACACGTGAGACTGAGAAGCTCGGTCACCCACCAACATGCTTCACAATCACGCTCATGCGTTTGCGATCCGAAGAGAAGGGTATCTCGCCTGGGTCCATTAAGTTGAAACTTTCCCTCAAATCACGCGAGAAGGCGCAAGCATTGGAACTAAGCCTGAGACAAACTGTTGTGAAGGTGAACTCCTGAGGTCCAGGTCCTTTTACGACGACTTCCTCAAGTGTGGATGCGAGTCGCGTAATGTTTGGTAGTTCGGGCGGGCAAGTCGGTCTAAACTTGGTTCTAGGCTGTATGGCTGGTTCCAGCTACCCTCGTGCGAGAGGTGAACGTCACACCTAGCTGGCGGCCAGCAACGCAGAAGCGAAGAGGAAGCAAAACGACAGAAGCAGCTGAGCGAGAAGCCGACCGCATTTGCAGCATCCACGAAGGCTACCTGCACTTTGCGAACGTTTCTGGTGAAGATCAACAGCCCAATCCAAGGACACGTGGCAATGTCAAACTGGCAGATGGAAACGAGGGAGACCAGGGGCTCAGGTTTGTGTGCAAATCGGCTTGGGTGGATAGAAACCACTTGTATTGGCAGTACAGCAGTTGCCTTCAAAAAGTGGCAGGCATTGGAAGGATGCCATGTCCCCGCCTCGTCAGCAGAACTGCCTTCAAAGATTTTCTTTCCATTCGCGGCAGTCTCAACCTGACATAAGCCAGCTGCAAAGGAAGGGGAAGTTCCTACTGCTTCCATGTTGCGCTCCCGACCTGGACTGAGTGGTTTGTAGCGAGATTGAGGAAGAACCAGAGCGCCTAAGGTCAATTGGGCAGGGCCGGTGTCAAAAAATTCATGCTAAAGACACAAGATCGCTGTATTCGCTTTGCCTGGGAGTGCAGTGGATCGGCAGGGTCTGCAAGAACTCGCTTTGATTCCGCGACACCAACTGCCTCCTTGTCAAGAGAGTGGAGCCCAGCACTTGCTCAAGCAGCACAAAGCAGATGCCTCTTGTATATCCAGTTTTCCACCTTTTCGAAAGTCCCCAAGATCTCTGCCACCAACCTCATTGGCAAAAGACTGATTGATGTAAAAAGCACACTGAAATGCAAAGAGCTGCATTCTCAGCACACTGCGCAACAATGTGCGAAGACCATCTCGTTCTCTGTAAGCGTTCCCGTTTTATCAGAAAACACGAAATTCACCTGTCCCAATCTTCAGCATGATCAATGTTCAGGCCTAGCACGCTGCTCAACATTTCAAAGGCCTGACCCATCTCTTCGACCAGGTCTGCCGTTCTTGCAGCAGCAGGCTGTTGAGTCCTGGAAGATCGCCACAATTTCGTATGTCATGAGAAACCATCACAAGCTGTGGGCGTCCTGAGGTCAACCATGCTAGGATCTTTGTTGATTTGGAAAGCCAGGGCGAGCTTGATCTCAGTTCAGGCTGACTTTGGACAACGTCTAAGTCTGCACGAGCATGGGATAAGCTGGGCACAATCTCAAAGCAGACATAGAGACTGACAGGAATGATCTGATACAAGATGATCCTGCACCAGGATAACTGATTTGCGCACAAGCATGGCTTGAAAGACCAAAAGTCGAGGCATGTTGCAAGCTGAAGACGTGTCCAGTAGAAGAGGAAGCGCAGGAACCAGGGTCGATCCGTAACTCCCTGGTTGTGTTTCAGTTGCGTAACAATCGCCACTCCGATGTAGTAGTCCCTGCCTGCACCTCCCCTGCAACAGTGCAGTAAGTACACCACAACGCCAGGGCAAGCACCAGGCCCTTGCCAGATTAGAATGAAGACTTGACACTGACGAGACATTTCGCAGAAGGCAGCACAACACGCCAAATTAGCCCCGGATCCTGGACTCCACGGTTGAGGTACACCTGCATGTTGGACACCTTGCGCGAGCCAGCTCTGTAAGAGAATCAGCGACCAAATGGCAGCGTGTGCTAGCAGGGGCTCAAAGCAGCCAACGCCTTGCCCACTGCTTGTGCAGCATTCATCCTGCGCGGCAGTGCTGCTACGGCTCTAGGTGGAAAATCGAGCCCCCTTCGATTTGGGGTCAAGCACAGATGGCACGGGCGAAAGCATGGTATGCTGGTCAACCGTCAACCATCAACCATCTGCCTTGTCTTTGTATGCGGTCCGCAGAAGGCGGCTATTGAGATGACGTACCTCTCCAGGCTGGTGGAGAAGCAAGCCCAATAAGCATATTGCTGTTCTCCTGGTGGCGCACAATGTGTTGCGAAGGACGCACCCACGTGGTACGAAAAGCTCATAGCCAAGCTTGCAGGGAATCTTGACCTAACAGACATCTCTCTGCAAGGACCAGCGTATGCATTCATGGTGCCATATGTGATCCTTGGACGGCTGAGCGCATCCAGAGGACAAACTTGACGCAACAAACAAACGCGCATGAGCTGGCCCCTCATGTCCCTCACAAGTGATTCACAAGGATCAAGCCTCCACTTCCTGCATCTTCGCTTGAGCCACGGATGATGCACTCTTCAGCTCCAGGTTCCTGAGCACTATGAAATTTCCTGACACAAGAGGCGAGGGCTAACACAGTCATGCCTTGCCGGGTCAGATTCGGTTGACTCAGCCCATCTCAGCCCATTGCCCCTCCATATCAGTGAGGACTGCCTTAGGCACGTCCAACTCCACCTCCAAGGCTCCAAGGCCAAATACAACGTGTAAGCCCGGGAAAACTAGATTCGTGCATAGGTTAAGAGTGGACAGGGGCAAAGATGGGCAAAGCTTGTGTGCGGCGGTGTGTTTAGGATGAGCGAGCCTGCAAGCCCTCGTCTTGCAAATGCTTCGCCGTCATGCAGGCCTTTGTAAGCGTTTACTTGCACAGCACGCAACAGCACCAGAGTCACTAGAGGTGAAGGCACTCTAGCTTGTGCAAAACAATGGGAGTGTCCAATGCAATTTTTTGTCTAACGAAGCTGGTGAGCGTGTTGCGCCAGTCTTACGGATTGCTGAGAAACATGGTGACACGCAAGCCTGCTTACTCAAATCTCTTCGCGGTGAAGTAATCCTTGTCGAGATGATGAACTCTGACGTAGCCGTCCTCCCCACCGGTCACGAAACCAGCACCGTCTCGAAACCATGCCAAGGTGTTCCTTAGTTAATGACATCGGGCTTCGAATCCACTTGCGCATGACCAGCAGAACACAAGCAACCCTGTCTTCACCAAGCAGCAGCGGACCTATGTGTCCCTTCACAGATCCAATTTCCTCCTCGAAGACCATGTGCCACAGCAAAGCCTGGCGACAAGCAACCATGAGAAATTGTGCAATTTCAACGCCAAAAAAGTCCGCCACCTCGAAAGCACCGCTGGCCCCAGAGACTGCGACATCCTGATTGAAAATGAGCTTCGCCGCACGCAGCACACTCGAGCACGCTGCAGAAGCAAGAGCACCTGAAGCGTGCAATGCTCACAAGCCAGATGTCCTTGGCATCCTGGCCACCACCCATGAGCAAGTGCATCTTGCAGTTCTGGCAGGGCTCAAAGAATCGCTTGGAAGGCCAGATTCTTCAACACTAGTTTGCTCTCTCACACGTGAAGCGAAGACAGCAGAGGCAGTTGAAATTCGACCAAGTCACGTTCTCTGACGCATACAGGGGCGAGATGGCGACGTCGTTCAGGGGTCTGTCCGTCTTGTACCTGGCTACCAAAACCAGACGCGCTATGATGCCGCACATTTGCTGCGTGGGCTGGCTCTTTGATGCACTCATAGTCATCCATTGTCCAAAGCTTCGCTGTACCATCCTGACATGTGAAAGAGCCCAGGCATGAGAAATCTAGCAATCCGCTGTGGCTTGCTGTGGCTTGCTGTGACCACTTGGACTTAGTCCTTGGAGCAGGTAGCCATGATCATTCTATCTTCCGTGAAGTTCATGCCTTAGCGCGGTATGCAATCGGCCAAGAAGCGGGCTGTGCACTTGCTTCTGATCGTACCCTCAACAGCTAATCAGCTGATCACGTCCAGGTTGCTAGTGATTGCCATCTGGTGTGCCTGGATCAGCTGCAGCTGCCTCCCATCTGAGGAGTCCCAGACTATCACGGTCCCCTCCTCAAAAATGGACACCTGGAATGGCAGCTGTCGGAGACACATCCTGTTTGGTAAACGATCAGGTATAGCTTGCCAAACATCCCCTCACGAAACGCGACAAGGAAGCAAGCGTCTCATCAAAGGCTCCCCACTTCACCTGCTTTCAGGAATGGGCACATGCACGCTTGCCCCGGTGACCACAACAAGGCATTCTGGATTCTGGACACAGACACGCACATACTTGCAGATCTTGCAGAGTCTGGCCTTGGTTGCCTTCATGGGCAGCTGGTCATCAATGGAAAGTATTCGACGAGGAGGGTCGAACTGCCAGACCATGATCCTGTTTGGCACCAGGCCTTCTGCCTGGCTCTTGAACTTGTCCTTGCAAGCAGAGGATCCTCGCTTGACTCAGCCATCGCAGCTTGCAGCCAAGTCTCATTGCATGTGCAGACCATGTTTTGGTCTCCAGGCTTCCTTACCATTGACTACCACATGCAGCAGCATAAACACGTTGCGATCATTTGCTAGCCAGCAGCAGATTCCACTCAACGTACTTCAAGACACCACCATGGTTGATGGCAGAGACGTAATCGCCCTAAGACTTGCTTGACATCAATCAACGAGGTTTGCTGCGCTGATCAACTGTCAACTCCACCTTGAAGGTGTAGAAGCACAGCTTTCCTGGGCTGCCGAGCTTTTCTCAGTAACCAAGGCAAGCACGCAACATTAAACAGCACTGCAGGGTGCAGAGCACGGATCCGTCTGCGTTGGCCGTGACCACATACGTGCTGTCCATTGTCACGTCTACTGCAAAGACCGCACCAGCTTTCTCGCCGGGTGGACTATACCTGATGATGCATCCAAGTTCGGGAGAGTGAAGTAGCATGTCAGTTTTGATAAAACGGCTCAAAAAAATTGCAGCTGCGAGGCGTCCCAAGTCGTTCACAGGTTTCAGTTCGTATCAGATTTACTTCGCCATCTTTCCCGCAGGTGAGGAAGAAATCGCCTTAGACGCATTCTGTTGGGACAAAAAGGCAAGCTGCCAGAGTAACAGCACTCAGGAATTGTGTGCAGAAGGGGTACCGTCGTAGTTGAACTTTACGAGCGTGAGCGGCCTTCAGTAGTCTGCGACTCTGCGACTCTTCCCCTTGCATAAACGTCCTCTAGAAGCTGCCGCCCAGCTGAGAAACATACCGCTTTGAGTGACTCGAACGGAAAAACACCTCACCTGACTCCTTGCCTCTCATGCTCAGACTCCGGCCGCTCGTGCATATGCAGAGAGTACGGATGCATCCTGCACCGCTGAAAGCGCACATCTCAGTACAGTCAGCTGATGCCTGTATGAAAGGCCTGAATCACCGCCTTCTGAAGAGGCGTCTACTAATTTGCTGGCACACTCGGCAAAATCCAGCACGTTAGGCTTGAGCCGAAAGATGTTCAAGTATGTGCATGTGTGTGGCTGGAAAGAAAACGGGCTCAGGAGCTGCTTGGAACTGTTGATGCAGCGTACAGCTTTGAGAGCGTGGCCATCTGCAGGACCTGTTCACGGGCCTGCTCCCCTCCTGAGTTGCCATTCTGACAGTTCAACTCAAGAAGTTTGAGCAGATCTAAGACTGTCGCGGGGCACATCATGCCCTGCCTGCAGTAAGATTCCAGGTCCGATGCGTGTACAACGTGTGGCAAGTCACAAGAGCTTCTGCCTCAGGCATATCCGTGATAGCAGACAGCAGGTCCGCAGCACGTCGCTCCTTGCATTGACAAACTCTAGCAAGCATCAGCCAGGCTGTCACTTTCCCAAGACCTGCCTTCAGGTTGGTCTCGCCATCTAAATTCACTGTCGAGATGAAGGCCTATCGTGTGCCAAGCATGCCAAGCTGTCCCAGTTGGTGAATGCCGGTGATCTGGCCGTTTCCAAGGTTGCCAAGCCAAAGTCTACAGCAGCCTGCCCGCCAGCTGCTCGTACAAGCAGCACATCAGCTGGAAAAGCCTCGTTGAAGAACGGGTAAGGGCAGCAGCGGGACATAAATTCCTGCCCTACCTCATCGGCAAAGCTAAGCAGGATGTCGCCGGCTAGAACATCTTTCCAACAAACCTGGCACATCTGGCACTAATTTCCCCTTGTGCAAAACCCTCTCAGCTGCTCCTCAAAAAGTCCAAGTGATATCGAGTGTAAAGGGAATGAAGACTTCAAAGCCTCCTCAAAGTGGCTGGTTTGCACGTCGTAGCGCAAACACCTGCAGGGCCATTTAGGGCCATGACATGTGACAAGCCCATCTGCGCACAAGCCGCTTGACTGCAGGACCTCCGCAAGTTTTCTGCATCATCATCGCGCTTCCGTCTCCTATCCTCATATAGATCCTGGCGATTGGAAATTCGAAAGCACGCCCATGACACAGCATGCGAGGACTAATACCGTCCTTCAGGGCTGTCCACAGCAGAACGCCCAGAAACGTCAGGACAGTCGCTGGCCTGTGCACATGTAATGGGCGGATGCCATCTTAGAACTGCCTCATTGATGCCCAATGCATGCTGTGTGGAAGCTCAGTTGTCGTGCTCAGCCCAACAAACCATTTGTAGCTTTCGCGTCAAGCCACGTGTTTTCAAGGTTGTTGAATCCAAGTTGGACGGCTGGAGGCCCTTTTCCAACCGCCCAGGACAAAGCATCAGAGCTTCCTGTCTGAGGCTTGTACCATGCCATAGGACCATCTGGAATGCAAACTATGACGCTCACGAAGAGGAAGTATATGTTGGCCTAGAAGTACAACAATGTTCCGCCCAAAGTGCCATACCTCGCTGGCTAGGGTTCGGGCCACACGCTGGAACTGCGCAAATAAAGACTTTGGGAGCCTTTTGCGGTAGGGTTCTTGTCGGATGTTGCGATTCGCATGAGAGGCTGAGCTCAGGTCCAGGTAGCGATCGTAAAACGGGTTGTACTGATACCTGGAGCGTAGCCGAGTCCAATTCGAGGCGAGGAAGCTCCACCACACCCACAACTGCTTCAGGTCGGAACGGTTAGGGTAACCTCCCTGATTCTCGTTGACTGTGGGAGGGTCCACGACAGGACTGGAATTCCTTCATTTAACAAAAACACAGCACTGGTTCACAGGCAGTATGCAAATTGGCCTGGTGAAGGTGATCTTCGTCCTGCAATGATTTAGCAACACGGCGGCTATTACAGCATCTTGAGTGTGATCACTTGCAGCCATCCCGGACCTGCTGCGCAGCTCCGACATCACGGGCACTCGATTTTAAACCGAGCCGCCTGTCAAGCTAGAATGAAGCCTGCGGTCTTGCAAAACAGCTTAGGTCCCGGACCTGTGATCCAGAGCCAATACAGCTTCAATCCACGAAAAAGCTTTAACTTGTTTGATTAGTGCATTTTGGTGAGTGTACCATCTAGGATTCCGCGGGCTGAGCCCTGACCATCTTGTGGAGTACATGTATGATGCTATATCATGCAATGAACGAAGCTTGGAAATGGGGGCTACACGAAGTCTGGGTCTGAGGTGCATGTTGGATGAGACATGACCTGCACAGCTGCAGCTATTTGAACCAAGTTTTCGCACACATTCTGCAGAATTGAGTCAAAACATGTCAAAACAAATCGCCACTGTGTCGAGTGCGCAACCAAGGCAAGTTTCCGTCCGCAGTTTTGAAACGGAGCTTAGGATGCCGGGCTCTTGTGGCCGGTGAGCCGTGCAGCCTAGTAGGAGCCCGTTGCCAGAAAGTCGCTTTTGCACTGTTCTTTGCGGGCGGCACCCAATGAGAAGCGCATCATTGCCAGTAGAATGGCAACTCCACCTGACGCTCCTGCGACCGAGGCCCACGGTTCTAGAACTCGCACAGCTTGGTCCTTGGTTGCCAGCAGATACCTGGCACTGGAAGGTGCCTGTTGGTGCAGGACATCCCAAGTACGCCACTTGAGTTCACATACACCTTCATCATGTGCCGGTCGTTGTTCAACGAAGCTCCTCATCTCCTCCTCGGGAAAGTCTGTGGAAAGCCCTGTCCTTGCCATGTACTCGCGAGGTCTTTCTTGTTTGGGAGAACCAACCAGCGGAGCTGGGCAGTCTTGAGGATATGCTCTATGCAACCACTCTGCAAAGGGAGCTCCATGCAAGGTCACCTTGCCGCCTTGAGCGATCTTCCAAAGTCGATCCCAAAGGTCTTGCGCGTCAGGCTTGGGAAGGACAGCCACTACTGCCGATTTAAGCAGCTCCGGAGACACTTCTGGCGCTGCAACTGCCTTCTCAAGCTTGGAGAGATGACTTGAGCACGGGTTCAAGCAACATTGCGAGTAGTAACGTGAGGATGCTACACAGTTGTTTGGCCCTTGGACATAATTTGCCAAAATCACTCTGGGGCTGTCAGGCTGGCTCTCTTCAAGCGCACCCACAACGCGGAGGTATTCCATGCTCTCGCTGAATTGCCACTTGCCCTGGTGCAGGTTGGCAGCATAGAAGTCTCGAAGGTTCACATGCCCAGCGCATTCTCGGATCTCCATGCGGTGAAGCTCAACCTTCTGTTCTTGGCACTCGCCGTCTTGCCACCGGCCGAAGTGAACTTGCAACTCATGTACCAAATCCATAAGGTCATCAAACTTCAGCCGTTTTGAGTTGGAGGGGCGCACAATGCCTTCGATGTTCCGCAAGAAGCTCCGAAGCTCCACCCAGTTAGGATATCTGTCAGATATGCTCACATTCCCCGAGACAGAGGCCTCGATAGCGTGGGGTGATCCGGCTTCTTCTAGGATGTAGCTCATCATGACCTTAGTAGCACAGAGTTAGCACAGCAGGGCATGCCACAATCGTCTCTGCTAGACCTGAACCCCACGGTCCGTGCCTCATGTAAACCGTTCCAAGCCGTGCCCCAACATTCTTGCCCTACGTTGCCCAGCTGCCTGCTCCAGAACTTGGTCCATCTGTTCCATTCTCACACTGCCAAACAGTGGCAGCTTGTGGGCCTTGAAGACAGCAATGACCCGCTCAAGCACTTCGTGATGCACAAGGCTGTCGAGCGTTGCAGCCAGCACAGCAAGTTCCTTCACGCATACACCATCCTTGAAGCATGTGTGGAACTTCTGCTCAACTCTTGATGGAACCTGCTTCTGCAGAACGCTTGCGGGAGAAGCAGTACCAGGTGCGCTGTAAAGGTCGGACTCTTCCAGGCTCTTGATAAACCACCCCCGCTCATCCACGAACACTCGATGCAAAGCGTACCTTGCCACGTGTTGGCTTAGCTGCCCTTGCTGACTGGGCAGGGATAGAAACAGTGGCTGCAGAGCTGCTTCAAAGATTGGAACTTGGCGTTCAATCCACTGGCGCGATTTGGCACCCATAGTGTCCTCAATGCTATCCAAAACGGAGTTTGCGCAGCTGGAAAGCTGGGTTGGACTTGCAGAACCGTCGGCTGGAGTAATGAGCTCATCCATAATCGCTGCAAAGTCCTTGGGCCGGTCTGCCTTGCCCACAACGGCAAGGGTCACGATCCAATGCTTGATGAAGAACGACATTGTGTGGCAACGTCGGTGTGGCCTGAAACTGCAATAGACTTGAGCCGGACACAGCTGGGGATCAGTCAGGCGGATCAGCCCTCTTGGTACATGGGGAGTCCAAATGAAAGGCTGTCAACGGGAGACATGGCGCTGCTAATTTTTCTATTTCGAGCTGGGGCTGTCACACCTTTTGGAGGTTCACCCTCTGGCTCAGGTGTGCGCTAGCTGCTGTGGTCGGGTCCTTGTGCTTCAGGAAGGGCCAGCAGCGCTCGCTCGTTCAGGAAACAAGGCCTCGCATAGGGCCTGTAGAATAAGCGGTGATTGAGCAGGGAGGAGCTGAACCGGGGCCCGACTCATGGGAGCATGAACGACCGCGGCAACACTGAAGTATCAATTGACCTTCCACTCGCCAAAGATGGTCAAGGATAGTCACGTGGCCTGAGAAACACATCACACTATGAAACGAGTTCTGTGGCTGTGACAAGGAGAGATGTGACCAGGGCGGATGCCATCTTTCACTCTCCGAATGCAGCGAGCTCAGCCTCAAAATCTCAGCTGAAGCTTGACAAATCTGTGGCTTGTCTGAATTCAGATCCCTTCACTCCGCATGGGGCCAGCACAGCTCAAAAACTGGCCACTTGGATCGAAGCATCACGCTCAGGGGAAGCTTTCGCAGTGACATCTGCATCAAGGCTGGACTCACCCACAAGCAATGAGAATCATGATGGCAAGACTCGCTCAGCAAGTCAAGGTCTGGCTCGAACACAAATTCGTCTCCCTCCAGTTCCCCTAGAGCCATGCATGTGTGCTGAAAACTATGCAATTGCGCTGTAGCTTCATGCTTGACAGCTCCCATGGCAGTCACATCATCATGCACATGTCACATAGGTACTGGAGATCGCACCTTGTCACAACACTATATGCAAACATCTGATGCTCAGATCTCTCTGAAGGGACCGCAGGCCTCTATGTAGCGCAAGAGGACATGCCTCGTAGAAAGAACCCACAGAGATGCTTGATTCCAGCTCACCGAAGTGACTCAGACTTGCGTCACATGACGCGACGCACACACCTGCTCCCGGAACACAAAGTGAACTGGCGCTGAGCAATCTCTTTGCATGCTATCATGCAACAATGCTGCCATGGCTGTCTTCTGACAAGTAGGGCTTCAGCTCGCAGCCCATTGGCGCAGAGAAGGCAGTCCTGTTGCACAACTCATGTCCTCCTAATCTGACGCAGCCAGGCTGCATGTCTCAACTCAGAGCTGCCGTTAGACTGCAATAGCTTTCGGGCTGGCAAAACCTTGTACCGTCAGCATATTTGGGTTGGCTGGATCTTGCACGGAATACCAAGGGCAGCTGCTGACCTCTGCAAGCAAAAATTGCTTCAGATCCGCTGACATTGTGCATGGTGCAATCTCGAGGAACCAGCCCATGGCTGCAAATAGATCCGCAGTGGCCGGGAAGGCGGCATTGTCCTGTTTGCAAGTCAGGATCTGCTGCATGAACACTGTTCCTGTGCCTGATCTGCAAAGACTCTCGAAACATTTTTCGCCGATGGCAATGCTTCAAAAGTCGAAGCACAGGCGGGAGATACAAAACCAAGCGGGGGGCTGAAAAAAGGAGACTCCCCCGCCAATCTTTCTTTGGAATCATTTTTGTGGTGGGGCTTTCCAACGAAAAACACAACGAGTGGGGTTACCTGCGCGCGAGTCACCGTTTTTGAGTTTTTGGAGCCCCAAAAGGTTGAAAATGGAGACTCCCTCGCCAACCCTTTTGGGAATCATCCTTTGGCTGGGCTTTCCAACCAAAAACAAAACGAGTTTTCCACCCCCAAAAGCTTAAATGGAGAATTCCCTACCAACCCTCGCTTGAGAATCACCTCTCTGATAGGGTTGTCCAACCAAAATGCCAAAAAAGTTGAAAACGGAGACTCCCCGACCAACCCCTGCTTGCAAATCAACCCCATAAGCTTAAATGGAGAATTTCCCACCAACCCTTCCTTGAGAATCACTCTTCTGGTGGGGTTGTCCAACCAATAAGGCATTTGTGGGGGAGGCATCGTTTGGGCCCAAAAAAATCAAAAATTGAGACTCGCCTTCCGCCCAAAAAGACAACGTGCAGGGTGTCACCGTTTTTAGAGGTTTTGAGCCCCAAAAGGCTTGAAATGGAGATTCCCCGCCAGCCCTTCTTGGGAATCGTCCTTTGGGTCGGGCTCTCCAACCACGGAGCTTTGGAGTGCCAAAAGCCGATTCAATTTAGGGGTTGTCCCCAGGTGCTGCTTTGACAGTAGAGACGTTCTCAAGCAGCGAGCAGCTACAAAACCTTGCATTTCATCGTGTGACACGTTTTTGTAGGCTTGCTTGTCATGGTTTTCTTCTTTCTTTGAACGGGTTACACACCTGCCTGGGTGGCTTCTGGGCCAAGCGCTCCGAGAGGCGTGCTAGGATGCTTGAAATCGGAAGGTCCTACGCCCGCTCCTACGCAGGCATGATGAAGCGAGGTTGGATTCGTGACTCTTGGACCTGGGTGAGAAGGAGAGCGTGGACCTTGCAGAGAGCTGGGGAAGCGGCGCGATCAGTGCCCAGGATGAGAACTAACTGCTGGTGCAAGACTTGGAAATGGTCTTGCAAGCGAACAAGGTCGACAGCAACAATAGCCAGTGTGGAAGGTATGCTGGTCCAAGGGCCGTGGCTCCAGCTTGGCATGTTTGATTGCGCGGTTGTTTTGAGAGCTTGGTTGACACGCTTGGGCGAGAACCGCCTCCGGGCGCTTGAGACGGCTCCACTCGTCTTTTGCGAGCTAGTTTCCAGTAACAGCTTGCTAAATTCGTAAACTAGGCAAGCGAGCTTAAGGGGGAGGTTGGAGGGGGCCGGACAGACCAACAAGAAACTTCAAAGCAGAGACACGCTGTTTGCTAGAGTCCCCGGTTTGCTAGGGTCCCCTCCCCCCTTTTTGGTTGGTTTCCCTAGCCCCGAACCCGAGGGTTTTCCGGTGGTTGCAGGGAGAAGGCGGGAGGTCGGACTGCGAGGAGCGCGTGCTGTCTTACTAGCGGCGCAGGGTTACTGCTACTCTGGTAAAGAACTAATGCGAGTGAAGCCTGCCAGCCCTGTTGATGCGAGCTACCTCTTACTAGCTTGGCAGGGCTACTTCTATTCTGTTAAAGCGCTAGTGAGAGGGTCCTTGATTCATCCGGCTCAAGCGGTGACGTAGACAAATAATAGCTTGAGCACTTTTCTATGCACTTAACGCTTTCGTCTTGCCCTCTAGCTATGGATAGGGGGACAACAACCTTTGATGGCCTCGCTAGATATGCTGCTCCTCGCCAGGCAAGAGCGGCTGGAAGCCACGCTAGCTAAAAGGGACACGGGGCGTGTCTGATGCCTGCGGAGGATAGTTCTCATCTACCACGCTAGACGATGAAGATGGACCCGATAATCGCTCTGATGACGCTGTTGACCCTGTCGCTAGAAGAGCTTGGCGAGCCAACAAGCAGCCAGCAACGGCGCAAGAAAGGCCTCCGCTCAGTGTTGCCGCTAGCCCCTCCTTGTTAAATCGCTGCCGCTGAAGAATCCAGCAACGGCAAAGTCGCAAGCTGAACCGTCATTGGTGCCAAAGTGTTCGGCGCCAGCCACTTCGGCCACTACCACTACGAGATCCTCAGCTATGGAGAGCGAAGTTCCTTCCCGCCAGAAAGGGCCGAGATGGCCATGGCTAGCGGACGCCCCGGCTCACAGCAAGCTAAAAGCTATGGCGCAAGCTTCCGCTAAGGCGCGGCCATGCGTGGCGCCATCTGCTAGACAGCTACCAGACTATGGCAATATTTCGAGAAGGCCGCCTCAGTGACCCAACCTGGACCACGCTATGGCTATTCTCCCTACTAGAGAGGGGGTAGCGAGTGGAGTCCTTTCAATAAGCACAGCTGGATATAACGCGGCGCGCGCTATCCGCCACATGCTACTCAACCAAGAGCAGGTGTCGCGTGGCCACGCCTGGCTAGCTATCCCCGATAATCCTCAGCTATGCGCACGCTGTTCGAAAGCACGCTTGCAAGCTAGTCACTCAAGAGACCCTCCAGCTAAGGGCTGCCCGGAAGCGAGCTTGGACGCAGGAGCGACACTTTATCACTCCACAGCATTATGCGCGCAGAGACCGCTGCCGCCTCCTCCAGGCAGCTGGGATAACGCTTCAAAGGGTCATGGCCGCGGCCGCAGCAAAGGCCTGCGGCAAAGGCCGGCGGCAAAGGCCGCGGCAAATGCAAAGCTGCAGGGAGTTTCCGGACTCCCAAAGATAAATCGATATGCCTTCGATACAACAGCGAAGCTGGCTGCAAGAAGGGAGCTAAATCTTCGTGCACCTTTGCTGGCTATGCTTCGGCTAAGCACCTTTCCTATCAGTGCAAAGCTAACGCAACTAAAGATACGCAAGGCGAGGGTGCGGGAGCCTGACAAGAGACGCCGGCGCTTTCTGCTAGCGCCGCTCCGACGGCCGCAGCTAAACCTGCTATACCTGCTAGAGACAAGAAGAAGCTACGTGTCCTCGTCTTGTTTGCTGGCAAACCCAGAAAACGGATGCGCGTGACTGCTTGACCAAGCTCGGCTACGAGAATGGCGTGAAGATACATGTCGAGTGTATCGACATCCAACGAAAGCCGAGAATTGTCCTCTCCAAGAAAGGGGTGGAGAGATACAGAGATAGATAAACTCCTTCAGGCGATCAAGGAGGGTGTCTACAATGCTATTCTGCAATCACCTCCATGCTCTACATTTTTGCGAGCACCCTGGGCTGATTGCAAGGGCCCAGGCCTGTGAGAGGCTTCCTCATGCCTCGCGGCTTTGACAGGCTAGGTGCAGAGAAAGAGAGAGATTGCATCCTGGGAAACATTTTTGACCTGAGAGATATTGCTACGCTGCAGAGCTGGATATCGCTTTCACACTG